AGCAAGCTGGGCACCACCAACCACACTTTGTATAAGGAGCCTGTCCTTTTGTTCCCAGACATGTTGACAACACCGCCATGGACATACATACAGCCAGCCTGAAGGACAGACACAGAACAGAGGATCAGCTGCACCTGACACCTCAGCTCAGGGGTGTCACCGGGGGGGCCACATCAGCAATACAGTTCCCCTTGAAGGGACGGTTATAACGGTAAGACTGTATAAATGTAACTACTCCATAACGTATTAATACATGTTTCGGCAATTAATTATTACTTATCCAAGTCACAAATATTGTTCAGTGCTGTGTAATGAAAAAAAACTCTGCTGCATGGACTTTATGAAATGCTTTTTATGCTCCCGCGGGCCATACAACATGACTTGGTGGGCCGCATTTGGCCCCCGGGCCTTAAGTTTGACACGTGCCGTAGCTGGTAAAGACATGCATGCACATAACTTTTAACCCGTGTGCTCACAAAGTTAATTAATTTTCCTAGGATAACTTCCAGGACCTTTAACCTTTTCAAATTTTCCATAATTTCCATGACAGGAAAAACTGGTTTTCCAGGACGTTGACGTACCGGTGTGACTGCAGCACAGTGAAAGTAGGCAGGTTCTGGCATCTCTGCTGGCAGCTTGGTCCACTGAAAAGTCTCCAGGTTTAGCTTCCACAAATCTGACAGGATCATCTCTCCATTATAACCCCCACATACAAAGGCCTCTGGGTAACAACAGAGAAGCACCTGGTTATACAGAAGGCTTTCAACTGTGTAGTGATTACAGTGTGTGTTTTACCTCTCTTGATCTGCACGCAACTGTGACAACGCCGGGCTGCAGGATATCCTGCCATTACAAAATGAATTTCAATTTTAAAAGTATATAATTTATCATTTTGTACCACACTAAAATTGTTAAGGTAGCAAATGTGTTTCACAAACCTATTTTTTCATGAGGTTTTGTGTGTATTTCTTCCCAGTAATTTGTCTCCAAGTTGTAGGCATGAATCTAAATAATCAAACACTTGTTAAAATGAATGCAAAACACTCAAATATATTATTGTGTGTGCATTTCTGACTCACTTTATCAAGAGGATATGATTTCCAGGAAGTCCCGCCTCCTAAAATATATAACCGTTGTCTGTCGTGGACCAGCTCGTGCCTGTACCTGTAAAGGGGCAATTATTCCATTTGAGGACGTGTCAAACAAGAGAGCTGTGACAACACCTGCTGTCTGTCTGTCTCTGTGACTGACCGCTCCTCTGGTAGGTCTGAGGGTGTGTTGTTGGGTTTGAGTTGCGTCCACTCCCTGGTGGTCAGGTCGAGCCTGTGAAGGTCAGTGCTGTAAAGGTAGCCAGTTGTTCCTCCGAACACATAGAGGTAGCCGTTGATGATGACCATTGCCTGGAAATGTAAAAATATGCAGAAGAACAAAAACAACAAAAACACACTTTAAAGTTATGTCTTGTATACATGTCGGACAACAAGTCAGAATACATTCCAATTGAAGTTCCAATCCATGATTTAAGTCAGGCTAGTATAATTTTCAGCCATGAACACTACGTTAGCATTAGACTTACCACTAGGTGGTAGCAAATGGCTATTTAAAAAAAAGACTCAGAGCTGAGGAAGGTCTTGAAGTGTCTTAAATGCCACCAAATCAGGACTGTGTTCAACTAAACAGGCAATAAAAACATGATAACACAGAAAAACAGAATGAAAGACAAAGAAAAAAAAACAAAGCGAAAGGAAGCAAAAAGGAGAACTCACTTAACAGCACATGACGTAACGGTGTGCAACCACAGGTAATAATCTGCGCTGGCTCTGTACCTGGCCGTAGATCTTGTTGGGCTTCTTTCCTCTGCAGTTGAGCAGATTCCATCGCTTGTACTGAATATTGCAAACATGGATATCGTTGCCATTATTTTCGCCAAATGGAATCCCGGTGCCGCCGAACACCAGCAGATTGTTGCCATGTAAAACTGCTGAAAGTGATAAAGAGCAACACTGTCACACTCTGAATTTAACACTGACCACAGTCCTAGTAAATCTCATACAAGGATGTAGAAATGAAAGTGAACCTTCCCAAACATGTTTGTTTGTTATGTATTTAGAGCAAATGTGGTGACTCTGAAGCTCATTCTTAGCCACATCAAGCTAATTAATCATGTATGTTAAAAAACACATTTCTGTTTTAACATATGATCTGTAGCTGGTTTACATCAGCTATAACTTGTACATTATATATATTACATTTTTGCTTATCTCTGCAGGATGTCTTGTGGTTCTTACCCGACATAGAGGCCAGTTCCGTGGGCATGTAACCCTCCGTATGCACCAGCTGCCATGAAGCTGTGGCGAAATGAAAGCGCCACAGCTCTCTGAACAGTGGGTAGTCTTCATTCTCTGAGCCACCTGCCTCGTCAAAATCAGGGTTGTAGCCTCCAAACACATACAGGTTGGTGCTGTCTGCGACGCAGCGGTGTCCACTGCGGGCAGGAGGTATGCAGTGTCCTGTGGGAGGATTAACGTAAGACACTAAAGGACATGGAGAAGTACTGACAAGTGTATGTGCACATTTTAACATTTGAAAAATGTTAAAAGACACAGGGTACACTACAGTAAAAGAATAGACATGGAGTAGATTACCTTCACGCAAAAATCTGTTTGGGATTCTAAGGTTGGGACAGGAATGGGAAAAGATTCGTCGAGCCTGAAGCCATCGAGCTCGCTTCTTAAAACCTGGAGGGACACAAAATGAAACACAGGCTGTCAATATTGATCCTGTGGACAACAAGGTTCATCCAGGACACACAAACTCATGAAAACAACAAATACATTTTCGCAAATATAAAGAAGTTATAGATGATTGAAAAAGACTCTTAAATTAAATGCAATCTTATCTGCTTATTTATTATCTAGACTAGGAGGTTATATAGTTTTATTTCGAAGGAAAATTGAAGTAAACAGGAAACACTGATTTATATTATGTGTCTGGATAAAACGTTAACGTTTTCTGCCTTGTGTTACCAGTAGTAATAGTTTATCATTGTCCATCACTGCACTTTAGTAAATAACAACAGTAGCAGTGAATCGACTCTCTTTTCCTGTCGTCTTCCGTAGCAGCAAAAGCTAATTCTGGCCGAAATCCGGTGATTGCTAACCCAGCTAACATCGTTAATTCATATGTAAACTTCCGTATTGCACCACAGACCAACAGGCATAACGGTGACCTTAAGGTTCATTTTTACTACACTGTGGTGGGCTGTCAGTGTGGACGAGGACTGAGTTGCTGCTGCTGTTTACAAACCCGAGTCTCTGATGGAAGGCCTCCACGACAGTTTCTCAAACTTGATGAGCCGATTGGAGGTCCTGCTGTTCTGAGGCGACGACATCTTAACGGTGCTAACACACACGGGGGGAAAGGCGGGTCACGGCCAGACAAGCAGCACAAGCGGCTTCACTTCAAAACGAAGCAGAGGCATGGGAACTGAGGCAGCCAAACAGAGCAGAAGACAGAAGACAGACGCTTCGCTTCCCCCTCCTTCTGCTGTTGTTGAAAGGAGGACACTCTTCTTTATTTGTATAGTGATTGAGCACGCAGGGCACATTATCGCCACCCCTTGGTAAAAACTGTGGATTGGAGGTCCCCGAGTTTAAAAACAGGAGCGCAGCTAGAGACTTCACATTCAGGTGGCGAGAGGTAAATTCGGGACATCTCCGCAGCAACAAGTCTTTTGGATTATTACACATTAGGTTAATACAGTGTGTGAATTTTGTTGTTTGTTTCTATTTGTGGACCTGCGATAAACTGGCTAACTGTCCAGGGTGTGCCCTGCCCAGTTGATAGCTGGGATTGGCTCCAGATGTGTCAACTATCTCCTAATCTTCCAATAAAGGCACATGAAATGATTGGGGTTTTTTTTGAGCAAGCAGAAGTGCAATGAACAGGCAGGCGGACTATACATACTGTAGCTCAGAGGTGACATCAAAGCTTGCGTGTACACGATCGACGATACGGACCAGGGGTCACCAACCTTTTTGGAACTGAGAGCTACTTCAAGGGCACTTATTAATACAGAGAGCTACTTGTTTGATACAGACTTCTTCAACAATGTATTAATAATTAGTTCTGGGGGACATACAATAGCAGACATTCTTCTTACCAACGTCATAGCACCCATTTGAATATCATTGCAAGTGGAACTGATTCAAAAAGCACAGTAACAGTATGTTTTTTGACCCTCTTGTTGATGAGTTTTATTTTGAGGACAAAGCCTGTGGGCAGCTTAAGTAGTCCACGGGGGCTACCAGGTCCCCCCGGGCACCACGTTGGTGACCCCTGCCATAGACTACCTTCCTAAAAAAAAATTATATAATGGTAAAATGGAGGTACAGTCAGTATGCTATTGAATTTATATGAACAATACATGACAGACCAGAAATCTTTTTACAACTGTTCTCTTCAGGGATCACCACAGCAGATCATCTGCCTCCATCTCAGCATAAATCAACGATCACGTGTTCTCCTTGGTTATCTTATCAGCATTGTTCAAAGCTAAACTGCTTGAGGTTGGTGCTTATTTTGTTTCTCTTATCAGAAGGTCGAAAGAATTTAGAAAACTATGAGTAAATCAGTGAGTGCATTGATTGCATTTGGAAGTGAGGAACTCCAGATCAGTAGACAACAGTAGTGACATCTAGAGTGCAGTTTTTTAGGTTACCTTTTTTTTTTCAAGCTTGGATAGGAGTCTGAATGTGTACAGAATTGTGCAAGAAAGAGTTTTCTTATCACTGCAACAATTCAAGAGTGCAGTATCACCTCAATGCAATCAAGATATTCATGCAAGCTACAGCCAGAGCTGTTACATTAGCTACGACAGTCGGATTACAGGTGATCAATTTAACCAGCCCACAGTGGACCAGATGATTGAGTTTGGTGTTTAAGTTCATATTCACATCCATTGGTGTGGTCATCAACCAAAATTAATTTTAATTGAATTTCTATTTAAAGTAATCTTTATAACATGATAATTAATGGAAAGGTAAATGATCTAACTATAGATCTATACAATGTTCTTCCATTGACCCGACTCTCTGGCCTTGTATCAGAAACCTGTGGTTACGTATATGAACTATATCTGAACTGTGATAAGTGACCGAGACAGAACTGTACTAAATTCAGTTAGTCTACGTGGCTGCCCTGCGTCTGATGCTTTGAACTGAAGGTGAGATCAGACTCCATATGAGGAGCCACAACTCTGTGTTAATATGCCTGTTTTAGAATGTTTAGGACCTAACAAGCTTATAGATCTAGGTATAATAGACAGACTTTCTTTTGATTACTGAATAGCCTTTGAAATAAAACACGTACCAGGAGAACATCATTAATTCTCTCGTAGACGTTCTCATTACACGTAAACTTAAATGATTGCAGAAAGGATCAAAGCAGTGTTATGCGCTTTAATAGATGACATTGACAGTGGTGTTGTATTCTATGGAGCACATGTCTACAACCGAGCTCCTCCTTCTCTGCAGCTCTTGTCGCTGGAGGTTGATGTCACAACAAGCAGAGTCCTCAGGACAGGACGCTAGGTAGAGTTCAGAGTCTCAGACGTACCCAGGAAGTCTTACACGAACATAGGAAAACAAAGTGGACAATGCTGCGTTCAGGTTCTTGTTTATGGAGAATTCTGGAAGACTGTTGAGAACAGTTTATCCAAACTAAAAGTCAAGGTAGAGCCTCATCACCGCCGCAGCATTTTTACATCACTTAGTAGGAATACAAAATATGTCGTCTCCAAGTCCAGGCAAGAGGCGAATGGACACCGACGTGGTAAAACTGTATCCTTTCTCAGCATAAACAGGGCGAAACCTTTAAATTAAACTAACAAAAGAAAATTTTACACTATATCCACTCTTTTGTGTGTAAATAATGTATCATTACATTCTGAATGTAAAAATGTTCTTATGTGTGTAAATGTGTTTTCTTGTCAATGAGCGTGTAAAAAGTGAGCGACGTTTACACACGGAGATGTTTACGAGTAACTCTTTAACGTTAGCTCAATTAAGTTAGCACAACAGGCTGTCGACACATGTCCAGCAGAATTTTTCCCAGTTTTAGTAGTTGACAGTCGGCGTTTGCCCTCTTAATGTGTGTATTTCTTCTTGTCTCAATTAAACGACAATTAACAACATGGTTTGTAGCAAAATTAAGCTGACTGTTTTAACTCCGTCAGCTCCAGGGACGCTGTTAGCTGGAGCTCAATAGCATTGCAATAGCCTCTTTTACGACCAGAAATTGGAATTGAATTGTCACCGGGCTGACAGCACAGAGTAAAAAATAGTGACGACTTCTTTCAATTTAGGAAACACTTCTTTGCAACATCTCTTCTACAATGTTGGGATCTATGAAAATGAACACATATGCAGCTAAGTGTGTGGTGTGCTAACACCTGGAGAGCAAACGAGGTCGATGGAGCGAGTCGAGGTCTAACAAATGACAGAGGAAAACAAGGTACATTAGTTATTGCACAAGAGGAAAGTGATAAAATGGCTTTGGAAGTGCATGCTTTGCAGTTCTGTTCTCGATAAGTGACTGGGAGCAAAAGTTCCAATATAAAAGTTGAAAGAACATGATATGTTTACAGCGAATAAGTGACCGTTGCATATCATGTGTTGTAGTCTAAAATATGCATTTCCATTGGAAATGAAAAAGAACCTGGGATGTGTATATCACTGTACATGTTACTGGCTTAATAACTATTGTTCCATCCATTATGAAAAAAATATTATTTCGGGGAAACTGCGCTTAAATTCGACTACTGTTGGTTCGAATAAATGGTCAGTTTTGTGTTTTGGAGTCGTCGTGTTTAAGTGCTTTTTTGTTTTTTGGCTGCTGCAGCGCAGTTTGCTGAACTTTGCGTGGAGGCTTTTATGACAACGTGAGCTGCATTGTTTTGTTTTCGTCCTGCAGCTAGAGGCTGCTCTCTGATTGGTTAGCCTGTTACCATCCGGAACAAGGCAAGGGGCGGGGCTCCGCACAGCTGATCGGGTAACAAGAAGCATGATGTTGGGGCCGTGGGCTGGGAGAACAGCGTGTTGTTTTCCTCCTCAGGACGGTCAGCAGGATCACATGATTAAGTGATTAATCATACTGGTCAGTGATAAATAAAAATGAATAAACCTATATATTGTGAAAGAAAAAAAGATGGTGAGGCACAATGCAATGAAAGAAGGGCTTAAGACCATGATAAACATTTTTTTCTAACAAAAACAAAGAGCTTTAAAATGGAATTAGTAGTATATAACATATATGTAATAAGAATATACCTCCTCAATTTAAATCATGAAATCTAAAATTGTTTAAATACCATACATATGCATATTAAATGAGCAATAAACAAGGGGGGAAAAACTTGATTAACTAAAAGTCAGTTCTAAATTGCAAAAATGGGGATGTTTTGATGATCTTAAATTGATGTTGACAATTCAATTCCCAACACTGCTACAACTATATCCAATCCAATTTAATTTTACACTTCATTTAAAGTACAATGAATTTAAAAAGCTGGTAGCAACTGTGGCAGGCAAAGGGTAGTAATTTGTTTTGTATTTGAGATATGAGAGACATGATTGCCTCAAGCATTACACTGCTGTTGTTGTACTGTTTTCCTCCTGATAGGTATTTGATTTCTCACTCATTCTAATGTGACCAATGCTTCCTTTCAAGTTAATTTTCTGTGAAAATGCATTGTCTGCCTTGCTTCTCCGTCCCCCCCGATCCATCTCAAGTGGTGAGAGATGTTTAGTAAAAAAAAAAAATCCACTCTTATCTAGGGATGTCCGATATTAACTGTTTTCTGATATCCGATGTGCCGATATTGTCCAAACAATTCATTTCCGATTCCAATATAAACCGGTACCGATATATGCAGCCGTTTGCCCCAAAACGTTTTCATTATCGGACAATTCTAGGTAGTTAGGTGGATAGATGGATAGATAGATATAACTCAATTGATCTCTTGGGAGTTCCCTTTAGGAAATTAAGGATTTCCAATTACTTCCAAAAAGCTTTTACAGTCTCATCTGCTTTTTAAACTTATGATTGACAGTTTTGTAATCTTGTGTCTTTTGTGTGAATAGTTAAGTTGTTGGAATCAGCAATGAATGGATTTATGAGAGCTTGATGAAACAAGCTGCAGTAGTTCCTTATTTTTTACCCTTTTATTCATCTGTCATTTTGCGTTAGTCAGGTGGCTTTCACCGCACTTCAGGTATGACACAGTTTCTCCACTATCAAGAAAGACCCCCAAGTCCAAGTTTTTTTCCGTGTTGTGTAATTCCACTCTCTGTTCATACCTCAACATGTTGTTCTGATCTGTCTTGTTTGTGTCGTTTTGTTGCTAAGGACATCTGTTTTGCCGCTGCTGGCGTGCTTGTTTGCGTGTTATTGATCCCAAATCTGACCTCTGACCAAGCTCACAAACATAGACCCGTGAATGATGTTTGTACCAGATGTGTCTTTTCTTAACCCACTGTCAGCATTGAGAGCAAACACGAGGTGACCATCCTGAGTGGACTCAACGAGTTTGTGGTCAAGTTCCATGGACCGCCTGGAAGTAAGACTCCATAGACAGCATTCTCATTACCCAGCTACTCTTTTATCTGATGCTTTTCATTGTTGTTAATGGAACTTATCAGGTGTGTATAGACACAAACGTCCTACATTTAAAAAGTCAGAATCTTGAGTATGTGATCTGTTGGGACATTTTAAACATGCATGTTTGTTTAGGAAGAAAGAGTCATATGACAATGTTACCTGTCATGTCTTAATCACAGGGCATTTAGAGATTAATCACAGTTAGTCATGCTGCAGTATGTTGTAGAAGTATGAATTTAAATTAGTCATGATCAATCAACATTTCTTATGACAATGTTTTGTCGTATGTTGCTGGGCCAGAAAGATATAGATTCATGGCGTGGGTTCATTTTATTTTGCTTTCTCTTCTTCTCTAGCGATTACAAATGTAACAGCTCTTTGTTTCAGGAAGATCTGTGTTTGAGAAACTTTAATGATGTCACTTCTTTCAGCACCGTATGAAGGAGGAGTGTGGAAGGTTCGAGTAGACCTGCCCGATAAATACCCCTTTAAATCACCATCGATAGGTGAGAAATATTCAGATGTTTTTCTTTCTTCTCATCTTTATCACCAAGATTTATTGGTTTGACTAGATGTTTCCTAAAAGCTTTTCATAATTCTTTTGTTTTTTTTACAGGTTTTATTAATAAAATCTTTCACCCTAACATTGATGAAGCGTAAGTTTAGTCATTTCAAATTGAATCATGCATTAATTCAGCCATACTAGCCCCTGCATGTATGTTATATAATCATTTTAATAATTAATAACTGTATTTTATGCATTTCCTGCCTTTTGTAGCACAGTAAACTGTTTAGTCATAATGGTAACAAACTGTGTTGGCATCTCACCCAGCACAGCTTCTTTAGCTTTGACTTTAGTCACATTGTTGTTGTTTTTCCTGTTGGCAGGTCAGGCACTGTGTGTTTAGATGTCATTAACCAGACATGGACTCCTCTCTATGGTAGGTCACAGCCACAGCTTTTACTGTCTGTTTCAATAACTGAGTATAATGACCAAAAAAACGTAACATCAAGTGAGCTCCCTACACCTACACCAGTGTTTCTCTATTATTTTCTGTCACGCCCCCCTTGCCCCTGCGACCCACACCCCCACGAACTGAAATACTATTGAGAACCTAATAACATCCGAATATCCTAATCCTAATACACCCAAATGCCAGGCACGTTTGAGCTGCTGGGTGAACACAGTAGGGCACGCTAAATCCATCTTAGTGGCTTTTTTTCTGCTGAGGACTAAGATTGTAGACTCTTCACACTCTAAAAATGAGGTTATCTGGACACACTTGAGATGACCAGATGTTTGAATGTGTGTGTGTCTGTATGTGTGTGTGTGTGTTTGAATTGTTTGTCTCTTTACGTGGTCCTAAAATGTACTGTTAATTGCCCAGGGTTTACCCTACTCTTGCCAGCTGACACCTGGGATCGGCACCAGCTCCTTCCACAACCCTTAAAATGACTAAACTGAATGAGATGAATGAAATTCAGATTTTTTTAAATATTTTTTGTTAAACCAATGACTCACAGCAGTGTTAGAAGTGTTAGAAAAAAATAATAGCTTGCAAGTGGCCAAAATTTTACTAAAAACTAGCTAAGACTTTCCTAACAACTACCCAGTGCTGACACGTATGACAGAGAGTAAACAATTCACTAAGCAGATGGGGCATTCTCTACAGCGCTTGGCTAAGTAAGGGCTGCATGATTAGATATGACGATGACTGTAACTCACCGAGCTGTTCAAAACAAGCCTTGTGTATAAAAAAAAAAACATTTAGCTGCAAATCACATAGAAAAGATTTGTTGGTCCGGTTTTGGGGTGCTGACGTTTTTCTCTCTTTCTCCTTCATCCACCAGATCTCACCAATATCTTTGAGTCCTTCCTCCCTCAGTTACTTGCCTACCCCAACCCCATCGATCCCCTGAACGGAGACGCGGCTGCCATGTACCTGCACAGACCAGAGGATTATAAACATAAGATCAAAGGTAGTGCACACAGGTCACAGGTCTATGTAGGTTCTCAGTCATCCAGGTCATTAAATCCAAAAATCTTTAGGTGTATACTGTGTGTGACCTATTAAAGAGCATGACACCTGTTCAGGCACATCTTACACCTGTGATTCCCAATCACGCTAGTGTGCCTTGAGAGATCAAAGAGTGTACTGTGGAAACACATCCAGTTCCACGTAATTGGTCAGAAAACTAATATGGCTTAACTGCAAATCATTTGGTTTTGTTTGTTTATAGGACATCAAAGGCCAGAACAATGAAATACTCTTCCACTAGGTGGCAGCCGATAGCTATAAAAGTAAAAAAAGACAGAGACTCATAGCTGTTGAAAAAGTGTAACTTTCTTCAATTCCTGCCAATAAAGGGTTGTGTTCAACTAAACAGGCCCAAGTTATATACTGATACATGGAATTATTTAGAAGAATCCCGAACCTTATGCATTCATCCTTCTTTTCCAGAGTACATCCAGAAATATGCCACAGAGGAGGCACTAAAGGAGCAGGATAAAGGAGGCGGAGACTCATCGTCAGAGAGCTCCATGTCAGACTTTTCAGAGGACGAGGCTCAGGATATGGAGTTGTAGTGAAGGAACAGATCTGGTCCACTTTCACTCTCAACAGACCTGTATTAATATCTAAGACATTTTTTACAGTGACACTATTTTTATTGCTTCATAGGGATTTGCAGTATGACATTGCAAGAATATTCTCCCTTTAGGAATTTGTGAGCACGCGTGTCTCTTCACTCTGACGGAGCCCGTTTTGGATAAAATAACAGAATCTCAGTTTACAAATCTCTGTGGCTTCATCAAAGCTTTTACACCAAGTTTGAATAGAGACCGACAGGAGGAGCAGTGGGATCACCACCAGAATCAAAACTAGACCTTTTAAATTTAGTTTTTTTGAAACCACAAACTACATCAGTGCATCTTATCTGTTGTACCTATTTCTATGTTTCTTATTTAGAGTTTTTTTTAAGAGTTTTACTGATCCATCAGGCATCCTTTTTGTCTTGGACAGAGGTCTACAACATGACAATCCACCGTCCTGAGCTCTTGGAGCTCTGACTTGGAGAGCCTAGACAGCCACTCTTGTTCTTTGTAAATATGTCACATGTCATTTTTGACCACACCGCTTCACTGACAGGACTGCACTTTTGCAGAGCTGCTAACATCACATTCATCGCTGTTCAACCTGAGTGTGGTCCACAACAACACCACTGCGTATCGGCGCATATACATGTAGTATATGAAGGTGAACTGGGAAGAAAGATGGCTGTGGCTATACCGGCTGCTGACGCTCAGCAGAAGTGAAGGAGGTGCATCAGAAAAATGATGCTTCTCACGTCCAACATCGTTTCCTCTTCTTCCTCTCCGTTTTAGGAAAGTATTTGTATTCTTTAAGTTTTGCTGTGTATCGTGGCATAACACAGAAGTAAAGTGAGTGTGTAGGGCTTTGTGGCATTGTACGGACACAAGCTTGCCCTGTGAGCCGTGTTCAACTGTTCTCGGTGTTAGACTTGTGTAGGGGTAGTTAGTTCTTTGCGGGTTCTTTTTCCTCTATAATGAAGAATGGTTTAAAACTTGTGTAACACACTAGAAGACTAATTGTCCTGTAACGCTGAGAAGAATTATTTCATATCCGTGTGTGGATCACTTCTTTTTTTTTTTTTTTTTGAGTTAAATCAATATCACAGAGACCTGGCGCCCTTTGGAGCATTCATCAGGCACGGAGCCTTACGGATATGCACAAAGTATACAAGTATGTTACTTTTTCTTTTATTTTTATGTGAAACTAAAAGTAAGTTTCATTTATTACCATTGGAATTAGCAGTTTGTTTTCTGCAAAACATGTTCTAAACTTGAATTAATACTGTCTTTATATTTTAGAAGAAGATCAGACTTTTTTCTGTAGTGTCTTCATTTGTGAATGACATAGGTTAATAAAACTTATGGAAAATAATGCTGTATTTGTGAAATAGTTCTGATGGCTCAAAATAACCTTTATAAACAAATATATGTTGGTGTAGCTCTTAGGACAATGTTATGCTGAAGAAACAACACAACAACATCTGGATCCATCAATGTGTTGTGTGTATTTGTCTTTGCCATTGAAGAAAACCTACTTGATTCTTATAATTTCTTACAGGATCAATTAATTTTTTTGAATCACTATCATAAAAAAATGTATTCTTTTCATATAATCACGTGCAGCGAATCTACTCTGTAATGCTGCCCTCTGTTGGTGGGGACACATTTCAACATGCTACGGTTGAGGAAATGATGTGTATACTGTAAGAAAATCCCCAATGTCTGGATGTAACCCGGCAGATTGGGTTCTACACTTTTTTTAATGCATAATTTGTCATTGGCTTGACACTGATATTTCTGAGCCTTTTAAAGTAATATTCGTTGTATCACTAAGTTAGTTATATGTAGTAAATATCACTCAAACAAAAATATTGATTGGTATTGTGTTTGTTTGCTGTCCAGACAAATTTAATAAAATAGATATGTCACCCATAAAATTGCTAAAAAGAAAATTTTGAAAGTTATTCTAGCCATTGTTTACTGATATCCTCACAGATACATCAAATATTACTAAACTCTTACTTAAATCATTTTTAAGTGCTGGCTGCTCCAGTGCACGTCCGGTGCGTAAAGGCGAAGAGGGAGGAGGAAGATGAGGATTATTATTCTGTCGATGGGTTTAGACCTCACCACCAACTCATCCTCAACACAGATGGAAGCCAGGATGGAGGGAGGGATAGCGGGGAATAGTACCACGACTGGAAATCTGGAAAGAAGTTTATTTCATATTTGAAGTCAGCTGTTCCTTACAAGAGCCTACACCACTCTGATCTCCGACTGTGATGAATCTCTGGATGTCTGTGACAGTTTCTTTCCATTTTTTTCTACTGACCAATTGCTCGGAACAGAGATTACAGCATTTTAAGGTAAGAAGCTACAGAGTACATCCTAAAGAACAACAGGAATATTTCTTCACAGAAATATAGGCTAACATAGTTTACTCACTTAAGAAATTAATCACTAAGAAACAGTCTATAGCGGCCAACTTAAAACAAGGAATTTATAAAGAGTAATTGTATGTGTGATATTGAGAGTTCCATTCCAAAATAACATTGGCCGTTATCTACCCTCTACTTTAGCAGCGCACAGTTACAGTCACCAACTTATTTTGCCGACAATGTTACTGTTTTTTCCCTTCTTTTTTCTGCTTACAGTCTGTAACAGACAATGTTAAAGAAAAGAACACAGTCTCTCCGTCTATCTGTCTCTATCTTTCTGTGTCCCTCCCTCACCTTTTCCCTCACTCTTTCTCTGGAGCCTTTGAGTCTATCGATCTTTTCCGGAAATGGGAAGATGAGACCTGCTTTGAGACCCATTTGGAGCATCTCAAAAAATCACTTAGCCCATCATGCCCTACGCTGAGGGGATCAATTTGAGCTGCAGATTCGCTCATTTCCCAAGAACAGACTAGAAAATTATCATTGATACCAAATCTGAAAACAAAACAGCAAATCAGTAATTCCAACATTGAGAAAAAAAATATTCACCTTTGATTATGGTCGACATTATCGTTGACCTCAGGTCACATGAGCAGGGCCATAAATGGTTTATATCTACTGTATGTAATGATCTATAAACAATCCTCCTGTTCTGTGTATGGCACTGGTAGTATTCACTGTCACATCAGGGCATCAGTGAATTACCATATGGCCATAAACAGAGTAGGGACAGACCCACACTGCCTAAGCTTTACCACGTGCTCGTAGAGTGAGCGTAAAACAACAGGCGGCTCTTCCAGTGTTATCCGTGCCCATTTTGGCACTTGCACATTTTTGCTTCTTTTGTCTTCGAGCAATCGTGTGTAGTACCACCATGGGACAAGGACTTTTTTAAACCTACTCGATGCAGGTTCAGATCCATCAAACGATCCCTCTCGGATATCAGCATCGGTGGTCCATCCCCGAGACCGCAGCCATGTAACCTGATCTCCAGTGGTCCCACAGACTCCAACGTGTCCTCTACTATCATCACAGGACAGATCACAGGAAGAGGATACGTTTGTTTCTAGACTTCAGACACTATCACCTTATGCCGTGGACGACGGGAAATATCACTCCTTTCTTACCTTCGACAAAAATATCAACCCACGTCCACAGACTCTTGCAGTAAAGGAAACATTTGTAAATATTTGCAATTCCTTATCCTGCGTTCCTTAGATCAGGGGGTCCCAACCCCTGGTCCGGGGACCGGTGCCGGTACATAGGTCATTTGGTACCAGTGGGACACGGTAAAAAAAAAAGTACTTTGGTGTTACTAATAAGTCAAACAGTTTTGTTTTGTTTTTTTTTCCTTTTAATGAAATGGAGAAATAGAAAATCAAGGAATGAAGCCGCTGTCTTCAACAATAAGAATAATCAGTCTCAGTGAGGTGAAGATGAAGCCTCCAGAAACGGGAGATGAAATTTTCACGGTGTTTCGGCAAAATAAAATTAGCTTTCTGCATTTTGCGTAGGGACATGTAGATGGACAGTGGATACACAGTGACCGTCATTCTAAAATGAGTAAAAGTCCATGAATCAATTGCGCTATTGTGATTAAGACATTAGTTTTGGATTCTATCAGTTCGTCCAGCTGGTGTTTTTTAATACAACAATATCTTTTATGTTTGTGTTATTAGTACACACAGAAATCACATTTTAAAATGTTTATCGTTAAACCAAAAGAAGTCTGACAAAAAATGCACATCCACGGACAAAAGCTGAATCTTCATGATGTTGAAGTTCAGCTGATAAGATCATATCACGTTCGAGGGCATCTGTCTCTGATTCCCGTGGTTTTAATATCTAAGAAACACATTAAATACAGTAAAACAATGTAATTATATACACACACACACATATATTTAAAACAAAGTGTGTGTTCTTTACCTGTAGTAGCTGGGTTTAAAGGGCCCACTTTTACTGATCCCCAGGTACTTGGCCTGGCCATCAGTAAGTTCAGTAAGGTGAGCGTCAAATGACGACAAGTGAAGGCTGGCCACGTATTCATCTGAAAATATCATGCAGACATTGTCCTTTATAGTTTCCTATAGTGAACTGAGTGAAAGGTAATGCTGGATTCAGCGTCGCAGGACTTGCCCATCTTTTTCGGCAGCAGGTAGACGTCCTTTTTGTACCGTCCCTCTGGAGCGTTGTACAACTCAATGAGAGCCAGAGCCTGAAACACATCTACGGTGACTGAGGGCAGCCTGGTTTTCACTACATTTGATATACAGTGAGACTTCAAGATACGAGCTCCCTGGAATATACGTTTTTCAAGTTATGAGTAAGCAACTTTTACATGACATCCCGTTACGAGTGCTCAGCCGAGCTCCATTTTTTCATTCCACACTGTTCCATTTTTACCAATAATATAAAATGTTTTCTTAATAACTATTATTTTATATTGTCAATATACTTGTTTATATCTATGTTTTTCAGCCCCACTGTATGTATACATAGTATTCTATGTCTGTGAACGTACCTGAGCTACTGCAGTAATGGAGAGTACAAATGATGGCACTGTGGAGCAGCTCAGATTCAGCAACCGACCCTGAATAAAAAGGCATTACTGTTGTTATTAGTGGTAGTAGTAGTAGTGGAAGTAGTGGTAGTAGTAGTAGTAGTAGTAGTAGTAGTAGTAGTAGTAGTTGCAGTAGTTGCCTCATTACCTCAGCCAATAGAATGATCCTCTTGCCATCAGGCCAGATGATGTGATCCACCTGAGGCCTCAAATGTTCCCACTTCAGGTCTGCAGTCTGTAAACTCAACTGAGGGCAGACAGTGGTGAACATGTTAGTGTTTTTTTTTTTTTAGTGAAGCAACACTAGAAGTCAATAAATAGTGTAAACTGGTCTTTTGTTTTTTACCAGATCTATCTCTGTGTTAGAGTGCCCCATGTTGCAGACAATGCAGCCGTTCTTCATCCTGTCCAGATGTTCCCTCAGAACCACACCTTTATTGCCTGAAGAGAAATGACCTAAAATGAATGCAACAAAGCTGGCATCTCTAACAGATAGGTTTATCCCGTGGTACTTTCTTAGAATTGACTTTAAAAGTAATACAAGTAAAAAAAAAAAAAAAGGTAAATATCTATCCATCCAGAGTACTTACCTGTGCAGGTGATGACCAAATCCAAGTTTCTGACAATTTCATCAAGTTTCATCACTTTAAAGCCATCCATGCTGAGGATTTAGAAAAAACACATCTATTTTAATGTAACCTGAAATCAGATGAGAGTTGAGGAACAAAATAAACCAGGACCATTACTCAGTCATGAAACACATACCAGGCCTGAAGAGCACAAATGGGATCTATTTCTGTCACGTAGACAATGGAGCCCAGCGCTCTGAGGGCAGCACAGCAGCCCTTGCCGACCTTCAGAGAGGAAACAAGGTCAGGTTCCAGTCGTTCAACTGAACGACGCAGACGCCGTGATGTGTTTACTGACCTCACCGTATCCACACACCACCACCTGTTTTCCCCCGAGCATGACACCAGTAGTTTGCTTCAACCTGTAAGCAAGTTCAACACAATCAGGTCCGTGCTGCCAAACATCACAGCACTTCACGTGCTCAACGTCACCACAGGCGTCCTCACCCGTCCAAGACGGACTCCCTGCAGCAGTACAGGTTGTCAAACTTCTGTTTGGTCACTGAGTCGTTGACGTTGATGGCTGGGACACACAGTTTGCCGGCCTTTGAAAGCTGGTACAAGCTGAAGCCCGGAGACAGAGAGACACACGTGAGATGAAGTTTCTTCGTGTTCTGTACAACCACGGAGATGAAACTCACCGATAGACACCGGTCACACTTTCCTCCACTATCCCTTTGATTCTCTTGAACAGGCTTGGGTACTTCTTAGAAATCCAGTGGGTCATGTCACCTCCATCATCCAGAATCTGACGTCATTCAACAAATGACAAATTTATGTATTATATTTTCTAGAAATGTAATTTATTTATTGTTATTGATTTAAAGTAATATTTCATTTTTAAACATATTTATTTCCTTAGATATGTAACTGTCAGAATATCTTATCTGACAGTTCAGTGACTGTAGATTAATCACAATCATAATTAATCCTCATTATAACCCATCATGAATAATCATAATAAGACAAATTCACATGGATAAAAATGAAAAAGAAAATTGTATGTTATATGAGTGTCTTTGAAGACCACTGAATCTGTATAATACAAATATTATTAATATTTAGTAGTATAGTCCCTAACAATCCATCTGAATATAATATATTTCTGTTCCGTATGTACAATAATCTATCTCTGATTTTAGAGCTAGCATGTTCAGAAAGTCTGTTTTTGTTTTCTTGAGGTGGTAATGAGGGGCTCATCATAGGGATGGAGAGTCCCCTCTGTACAGTATGTGTAAATTACCATGTTGGGCTCCCAGCTGTCAGTCCTGACACACTTATCAATACACCACCAGAAATCCTCTTCTGATTCTCCTCTCCAAGCGAACACTGGGACGCCTTAGAAGAGAAAAGGAACAAGAATCCAGTGTCACGTGATTCTTAGATCACGAAATGTCATAAGTTTAGGCTGTTGTAAACTAAGGACCCCCTGTATTGAAAGTTGTTGAATGTCAGAAATAATACATTTACTGTATTTTCCAGACTATAAGTCCCTTCGGAGTATAAGATGCATCAGCCAAAAAATGCATATTGAAGAAGAAAAAAAAACATACATAAGTCTTTACAGAGTATAAATCGCACCAGCCAGCTAGAGTGCCCTCTAGTGGCTGTCGGTGTGAACAAAACGTACATTACATATATTACATATTACATATATAAGCCACACCTGAGTATAAGTCGCAAACCCAGCCAAAGAATGAAAAAAGGTGCAACTTATAGTCTGGAAAACATGATAAATACAAAATACAATAAGCCTCAGTGCTGCCCCTTGTGGTCTTACAATGTATAAAATAATAAATAATATGTAGCCTTTCAACCATGTAAATAACAAAGGATATATTAATAGTAATTTACAATGGGACTTTGTTGTTCAGAATATTTATCTGATAAAATTTGAGTTCAAACTCCGTTGTTTTAAATAAGTGTCTTCATACCAATTTTTGCTGTATTTCTTCTGTTTTGTCCAGAGTGTGTATTAAACAGAGACAGACTCCTGGGGCATTTGTGTTTCATGCCTCATTTGACAACAGGATGCCATCAATAACACGTGACTTCATCTGAAGGTTCTGTAGTTTTTTCCTGTCGTGTTTATGTCCTAAACACGGTATTTTTGCACGCTTTGATGTGTTCAGTGAGTGTCCAGTGTGCGGTTGTACCTCCTTCAGCCAGAGCAGCAGCAACGGTGTTCTGGGTGGAGAAAATGTTACAGGCTGCCCAGCGACACTGAGCACCCAGTGAACACAGAGTCTCGATCAACACCTGCAAAGCCACAAAGGTTCAGGTTCAAGGTTTAATCTTCAGTTTCATCATGTGTATAGAAGCTAAAGTAAGATTGAACTGTGATTATTTTAATATAACCAAAAATATGATGGACTCACCGCTGTCTGTGCTGTGATGTGTGTGCAGCCCACAATTTTGGATCCAGACAGAGGTTTCTCCACAGCCGCCCTCTTCCTTAGGACCATCAGGGCTGGCATTTCTAATATTGGACATAAAGCATTAAAGCAGAAACATTAAGTGTTAATGTCCAATTAATCTTATTATCTTCTGCTTCTTCTTCCCTTCTCAGGTCTTCATGTAAACATTTATTTTTAATTAACAAAAAATGCTGTTGGTATAAGTATCGGTATCAGACATGGACAAAGTTGTACCGCGTCATCCTTAATAGACATATTATAAACTCTTACAACCCTTACTTAATACAGTCTCCACCCATGTGAATATCAACAGCAATTCCTATTTGTAGAAGGATTCTTTTTAACCTTGTTGGGCAATTTCTATCTCCTTGCGTCCAAAATCAGCATGCTTGATATTTTTGATGCAAAAGTCAGAGAAGCCCTTGGAAGTCTTCTGAACTTTGTTTTTTGGAGATGGTTCATCCTCTGAGCTGTCACTCCCTACTGGAATAGAGAAAGAAATAAAACAAATTTAGAAAAACACTTCTGGATCTGATTCTTCCATGTCATAGCCCACACAGACTAATGGAGAGGTGGAAAGACATTACTTTATATACTGTATTTTCCTGACGTTTTTTCATCCTTTGGCTGGGTTTGCGACTTATACTCAGGTGCAACTTATTCAGTATATTAAAATATATAATTTCACATGTTCGTTATTTTCACACTGACAGCCACTAGAGGCCACTCTAGGCTTGTATCTGCTAGTCCTGTAAGTTGCACTTGTACTCCGGTGCAACAAATATCTTTGTTTGTTTTTTTCTTCTTAATTATGCATTTTGTGGCTGGAGTGACCTTGGTCAGGGAAGTGTCCTACCATTTGTATACCATAACATACCTTTTCAGTTTGGAGTAGAAATGCTAATAAAACAAGATCTTTTAACAGCATTTTGAACTAATTATAAAGTAATTAATTATAAATATAACTAAGGTTATATTTTTGAGGGTAGGAGGAAACCAGGCACACTAGGGGAGAACATGGAAACCACATATAAGACTAGAAATCAAACGCGGAAGTGATCTTCTGGCTGCTAACTACATTTCCCACCATGTAGTCCATGGAAATACTAATGGAAAAAAAATCCAAATAATTTTATATAACATTTTTTGGATGTTTTTTTTTTTTTTTAAAGTTTCCTAGTTATTTGCTCTAAATGCATTTTCCAGTCCATACCTGAGCTGGTGCTCTCAACAGACAGAGAGCTCCGATTTGTTGACTTGGTGTGGTGGTGTTGGTGGAATTCTTTTTTCTGGTCAGTCAACTGTATTTGCTGTCAGGACAAAAATATATGCATTACACTTGAGAACCTGTATATAATAATAATAATAATAATAATAATAATAATAATAATAATAATAATAATAATAATAATACAATCCCTTAAACATCCCACAATCGTGAAGTTTACATGAGTGTTTGCAAATAACACAGGCTGCCACACGAGGGCCCCATTGGGAGTATGTGGTTCCTCTGGGAATGGACCTATTGGGACTCCCTGCTCTCTTCTTTTCTTCATTTATTTTTAATTAATTTAATACACTAGTTGGCGCCTCGTATTCGCGGTAAAATGAAATTTATACGACACAGGAAGAATAAATCCTGCTACAGTGACGATAACGCCAGCCAAACGTGTATCTTCTTTATTCTTACCACAGGTCAGTAAATACACACTCAGGCAGGTGTACATACTTTATATGGGTCGAATGTGTGACTAGTAATTAGCTGTGTACGTACGAGCTAAAGTAACCGGTTATCGAGAGAGGGTTGATGCTAAGTGAGAGTGGGAATGTATGCTAAGTGGCTACTGCTAAGCGGACCTGTACAGTAGTGAGTGAAGAAGCACAAATGTATGCTGGTGTTTATTAATGAATATGTTTTTTTAATGACATTTTTTTCGTCAAACTCCCATCTAATACAGTCCAGTGTTTGTAACACTGTTTTATGACAACTAGATAAATCAACTTGAGAGCTTGTTTTCTCAGTCTAAAGTCCCCTTTAAAATGTAGTCCAACAATATGTGTTCAATGAAAAATAGGGTAAAATATATGAAGAATTGAGTTCTTTATATTAACGAATTTGGCTATTTGTCATATGCTCCTGATTCAGAATTTTGTATAATAAAAAAACAATATTTGTATTTTAAATAATCTCTGCTAGGTTTTTAGGAATTTGGTTTCTTAAAAGTGTTGATTTTAGGTACATTTTCTGATCGTTCAAATCTTAATATTTATATAAGCTATGACATAATGTATCAATGAGCCATAAAATAAATAAAAAAACATGTATAAACCCAAAGTGTTTTTAGGAAAAAAGGAGTTTAAGGGAAGCAGTTTGCTTAAACTTTAACACGGATGTCTATAAACTGTTACTTGTCGTGTGATTGTTAACCCAATGTTCTCTGACAGGGTTTACAGAAGTAACATATTGTATTTTCAAGTTGGCTTCTGTGAAAGTATACGAAAGATTTTTCATGCCTTCTTTTTTCCTTTTGCCATTGGCTTGTTTAAGTGTAAGCAAGTTTAATTGTTTCTCTTTTTCTTTCTTTCTTTTTCTCTTCTTGGAAAAATAACATTAAAATGTATTCCGAAAAAAGAAGATAATGCAGTATTTAGAAAATTGTGTCTAAATTATTCAAATTAGAAAGTTAAAAGGTATTTACTTCATTTAAAATAGATTTTAAAAATGTCACTCTGTGACTCTAAATAATTCTAAAAAGAGATTTCCGTCTTAAATAGGACCTGTACAAATAAACCAGTGATACCTTGATACAGATGGACTGCACTGCCTCCTCGTCCTTGGCTTTAGTTATGTTCACCAGACTGTAAACTTTCTTCATGCTTCTGGCAGGCTGCTGCTAAAGCTGGGAGTGAGCCTTGTGCTGATGAATTGAATCACTCTGTTGAACTTATTATGCTGTTCCCAGAGCAATGCTTAAACCACACCTTAACCCCACAGAGGCAGGTTACAGGTGGAAAGACAAAGGGGCATAATGTAGAATAGAGGAGTCTTTGTGAAGACTGATGATGGACGGGAAACCAAGAGAGTTCTTAGGAGACAAATGTTAATGTAGTCGAGGCCGGAAATGTATGTGAATATGAACGGTAACCATCAAGTTAGACATTACTGCAGAGTAGAATGTTGAAACCTGCAGAAATATGGCCATAAACTAAAACAGTGAAAATTACTCACACTAACCTTTACAGCTGCATCGAGAGACACATTTTGTTATAATAAATCAGATAATACAGTTTCTGTTCACTCAGTCTTATTTTGTATTTCATTCATTCTCAGCACAAATGATTTAATTTGAAAAGGTTAAGTTATTTTCCAACTACTGTAGAAACGCTGGTCAAAATAAAAGTCTATGGAGGGCTTCTTTAAAACAGGGAAAGAAGAGCGAGAAAACTTATTTAAAGTGCCTCATGTGCAATCCCACAACTTTTGTTATACCCTTTATATTTTGTTATAAAAATGTTGTCTTTTCACCTTTCCTTGAACTGAACGTTATATTTTGTTTTAAAAATGTTTATTCTGTGTCTTTTCACCTTTCCTTGAACTGAACAACGACATTATTGTCTGTTGTGAATCTTGTTCAATGTACAAAAAAGGTTTGTGTGTCATGGAACTACAACAATTTTTGGATTTGTAATGCCCCACCCCCACCCCCCAAAAAAAGCCTGTAATTACTACCCTGTAGTGGAACAAGGACTGGGATGTAATCGGAGAATTACAATCAAATCTCAGGCGGGGCGGGGGTGTGTTGAACAAGCACCAATTTCGTTCTTACTCACACCCTAACAAGAAAAGGTGAATCGATTAAATGAAAGTTTCTATTCAGATTAATTAAAGGGTAGCTGTAAATTAATCACAACTAATCATGAATAATCACAAACATAATTTATCATAATTAATCAAGGTAAATTGACTTTCCTAAATTTCCTAAATGACAAAAAAACTTGTTTTCTGTACGTTTAGAAATAAAAGCAGGTACAGTTTGTGTTTTGCACCTGTTTTTATTTGTAACCAATGCACATGATAAAAATTATTAGTAAAAATATCAAGAATAACATTATGAAAAATATAACTCAAATCCTGCCAATAATATGCGTATATTTTTCATATTGTTGTATATACCAGTATATAAGTATTTTATATATATTTATTATAGCCATTTCAGTCATTACTGTGAGTGTTAATGTTGACTTGTACGTATTGAGAGTTGCCTCCAAACCTCTGTGAAGATGTTGTCCACAACAACATGAATCTGTCTACAGCCTCTCACAATCCATCTGACAACTGTTTCATTCAGTTTTTTGTACAAGATATAATTGAGTAGTTTTGTTTAATATTTTCATAATCACATTCATAATTTTCTTTCTAAAGAATTCTCTTATAGTTTGTACCCTTTCTTCCTCTGCTATAGCCATCCTTAGCAGACCTGCTCTGTCAAGGGCAAAGGGTCACATGACAATTTAATGTCCGGCGACAGGATGTGGTCATAGTTGCCCAGAAGGTGGATTCCAGCCTCACTGTTTAATGTCAGTGGTGTCAAGTGTTTGATGTGTGTTTTTTCTGTGGTGTGTTTTCTGTTTAACCGGTGTTTAGATACAACAGAGGAGTTGTCTGGGATCATTTTACCTGATATTGAGTTGTCTGCCATGCAGTTGTATCAGGTGCTATGTTAAAAATCACTATTTTCATTCAGTTTCTTTGCATTCAAAGCCCATTGCCCTGGTACCATCACAGGACTGACTGATATGTGATGACCTTGTCAAACAACTAAAGTTTCAGTTCCAAACCCTCCAGGTTTCTAAAACAACCAGGCATGTCAGGTTCAGTGGAACCGCCAATGCCATGTAAGAATACTTTGTGCAGTGAAGCGGCAATGCTGTCAAAATAGAGGTAGGCCACACATTGAATGACACATTAGGCTTGTGTGCTTTAAACCAGAGAGTGCAGTGCAATGCAGTATTTGCGTAAGAGTATGAACAGACTGAGAGCAGATTGATGATTCCTGTGGACTCACAACATTCAACAGCGTCTTCACTCACCATGTCAGTCTTCAAGGCCTCAGTGACCTGTTCTTCTCTCTCAGACATTTCTGTTTCCTGAGGAGCTCGCCTGCTCTCTGCAGCCTTCAGCATCTTCAGCAGGTCCGGGCTTCCTTTTACCACCGGCTCTGGAGAGTAGGACCTGACCTTCTCTGGCCCTCCGTTCAGCACGTCTCCCTCTTCCATCATTTTCTCAGGGTGACCTGCAGTTATGGACAGTGCCTGCTGCTTATCCTCAGACAAGTCTTCACTTGTGTACTAGGATTGTGACTTGCAGTTTAGGTATACACAACCTGCATAGGGTTGGTACTTCCTCATGATAGGTGTGTGTGCTTTTACTCTAAACAACAGCTGCTTTTGTGTTTCTTTGAAATATAAAATAGATGATAATTAGTCTTGGCTGCAGTGTGTACAGAGTAAACACTGACTGTAAGAGCCATTTTAGGACACGGAGGAGACAGGTCACAAAGATATAAAACACTGAAAATCATTAGGAAAGAAAATGCATGGTGCCACCAGTGGAGACGTTGACATGGACCTTCACTCACTTCCTTGCATTGTAAATGTGTTAAAGCAAGTTAAAGGAAATGCTTTAACCCTTTTGCTCTGTAGTGTCCTCAGACACCACTGTGGACCTGCTTCTTGTTTTGGTGTTGTCTTTGATAACACTAGATAAAAAAAGTGTGAATGCCAAACAAACCAGGGGCTATATTCTAAACAAAGAGGTGCCTTTACACTAAACTGCACCCGCAACAATAGGGACAAACAAATCAAGTGTCCAAACTATAGGACATGTGTGACAACCAAAAGAATATCATGTCCTTTTTCTGTGAGCCAGTTTAGCCCAAAGACATGCAGATTAAAGATGAGGTTAGCTAAAGCTTTCACAACTGAGTGACCGTCCATGGAAATCTCTACGGTCGTAACACCCACTTTCCACTAGAGGGCATTGCTGCTCCACGGTTGTTCAAAGCTGTTCTCCTACAGCTGAGACAAAGAAATCTTAGTAGTCCACAGTCCCTTTCTGAATGTGATACTGTGGGGAAAATGTCACTTTTTATTTCCGCGTTTTGTTTATGGATGTGATGAAAGCCAGGCCAATGTTGGGACAAAGTCCAGAGGAAGAAGACAGTGCATCCTGTCATGTCCTTCTTTTTAGTACAGGAATTTGTGACTCCAGTGCACGAAATGGACGGACGATAATAAGGTTACACTGAGGTTACTGATGATTTATGACTTTGAATTATTTCAAAGCTATGCTCTCAGGCTGATATTGGAAAATGTTGTCATGGACCCTGGGGTTTGTCATGTGCTTTGCATAGTTGAGTTAGTTGTTCTAAGGCGAGAAAGCTAAATGTGTCATCATTACAATATTGTTGAAATGAATGTAGTAGACGTTCAACTTCGCTTTGAAGACAGGTAGATAGTTGTATGTAGCTCCGTAGTTAAGTATCAGTATACGCATTCAATTAGCACAACGTTAGCCCAGAATATTAAAATAAAAAATAAATAATTGACCAGAGTAGAACCTAAGGAAAAGCCTAAAAGAAGTCTATGCATGTCATCAGTCCCACCAAGTCTGGGAGTTAAATCAGCCAGCGTCTGATTTTGATTCAGTGCCTTAAGCCAACTTCCTTCTGAGGTTTCGCATTTATTGACTACTTTAAGTGAAATCAATTTTGGTATATTCTTAATCGAAGGCTGGCATGAAAATGAAGGTCCACCGAAATAAAAGAAATAAAAAATAGCTGACCAAGAACATCCTTGCCTTAAACAATAGAGGTTTAACAAAACTCCTAAAGTTTGTCCAAAAAGACATGAAAGGTAGTCAAAAGAACTAACAAGTTGGTCAATACTTACACAAAAAAGCTAAGATGAAAAAAAGTTCTAGGAAAGAAAGAAGAAAGAAACCACTGAATTTTATACACTTTTTAAGAAGTTTGGGTTTGTGTTTTCACTTCAGTGCTAGCATTCTGTGTTGCTCCTTATGAAATAACATGTTAACAACACAAAAACTAGGGATGTCCAATATTAACATTTTGCTGATTTCCGATATGCTGATATACAATCCCATGATCATTAAATCCCATCTTTTGGCAAAACCCAAACATGGTTTTATTGGGTTTCATTATCAGAGGAAAAAAATGATAACGATAAAAAACAATAATATCGGTTGGCTGATATTATCAGACAGATATTAGCATAATTAGCATATATTATTAGCATAATCCCTAAAAACTGTATATTTTTCTGAAGTCCAGACTAGCATTTCAATTTATTGATCACAGTAAATACACCTTTAATTTCAAGGTTGGAACTACAGTAGGTAAACAAACAAGACTCCTTGTTGTCCTTTAGGTGTGTACTCTCTCACAATACAATGCACTCACTGTCTACTATGTTGACTCATAATACTGGAAAATACATTTAAATACATTTATACACGGGGGGTAAAGTAAACAACAATGTTTTGGTCGTACACAGGTCTGTAGTTTGTCTCTCATCGGGCTGTGCGTATGTTCTTGTACTGACACAGAAGCAGGTGCTTGAAGGTGTTTTTAAAGGTGGTGTTGCAGAGAGCGTAGCAAGCAGGGTTAATGGTGCTGTTGATGTAGCAGAGCCAGTAACCGATGGTCCAGAGGGAATTAGGGATGCAGATGGAGCAGAAGGTGTTGATCAGGACCATCACATTATACGGCGTCCAAGTGACAACAAAAGCAACCAGGATGGCCATGATGGTGCGCGTCACCTTCTTTTCCCGGGATGAAACACTTTTCCTCTTCCACTTTGCCACAGCACTCTGCTTTGTCACCTGGAAGGAGAGGCAGGAAAAACAACTGGCAGTTAAATATGAACATTTTTGTTTGAACTCTGATATGAACACAATTCTTAACCAACCGCAGTCAAACCTAGGATAAACCTTTCTTTGTCTCTGACCTTTAGGGGCAGCATTTATTACAGGGATGTTCTGTATATTGAAGGTGAGGTTCCTGACATTTTTAGGCTAAATAAACATAAAATAGAATAGACTTTATTCTCATTGTACAGCAGGGGTACAACAAAACTGAATCGAAAAATATATTCAGTATATAGTGACTCTACTGCTTGGTGCCAGTTGGTATATGAAAGGTAATGATGAATAATGGTTTTAATGAACCAAAATTAAAAAGAAAACAGAATGAAAAACAATGTTATAAAGCAGTGTTTCCCAACTTTTTTTCTTTTCACATTTGTGTTTTCACATTGCAGCTACTGTTGCTGAAACAATGATGTGAAAGTCAATACTGTTGCCTGTCACTGGGGTGGCTGTCTGTGTAAATTTCTTACATTTCTTTCTGATTTATTAAACTACTTTGATGAGCCATGTATTCTTGCAGTGCAGCTGTTTACAGAATCTGCTCCGGGCATTTAGACTTTAGTTTATTATGAGAGTGTTTTACTCTTATTTACTCAGTCAGGGATTCCCAGTGGGTGCGAAAGCTGCCATTAGAGGGTGCGCGAGATTGTGATTGTGGGTTGATTGTGGGTTTTTTAAGTAGGATTTTTCCATTTTTCTCTTTAAAATTAATTTTAAAAAAAACTGACATTTAAATTTATAAATAAATGCAGTCTATATATATGTGTGTGTGTGTGTTATATGTGTGTGTTCTGGTCATTTTGAGCGTGATGCTGTAATGAAATTGAAATTTACTCCACAAACCTGTGATATTGACTACTGTCTAAATACGATCTGACTAGTCTAGGTCTAGTTCTAAAGCTCATGCCAATTGTTAATCTCTGGTGTTTGATCTCTGGTGTTTGATGGAAGTAAAACCAAAGTTACCCTGAAGAGTGTTTTTGTGACCAGACTCTGTCTATCAGCTGCCGAGTTTGCTGGGGATGGTGGCTGTGTTTGATGAGTCCTCCTCTCTGTATTTGGATCGGGCTGTGATGACACAGGGGCAGCAGTTATATCTTTAGACGATGATGCGTTCATGAACCGTGACTCCACTTTGTCTTTTCTTTCCTCTCCGTTCAGCTGCTGCAACATCGGCTCCTCCTTCATATCTCCGACCTCCTTGGAAGCTCCAACTGTGATACAGTTGTTCTGGGTTTCACAACCTTCCTGCTGACTGCCGTTAGAGGGGGCTTCTCCCAGACTGGTTCTTGAGGTCTTTCTGTTCGGTCTCTTCATCCGACTGCGGCTGGCTTTGGAGATACGCCAGTAGAGGTAGATCATGATGGCCACAGGTAGGTAGAAAGCTGCTATGGCTGTTCCAAAGGTTACTGCTGGGTTGGAGAAGAACTGGATGTAGCATTCACCCGGCAGCACAGTTCTGCCGCCCACGATAAACTGCCAAAACAAAATAGCCGGAGCCCACAGGATGAAGGACAAAACCCAGGCAGCAGCGATCATCAGGCCGGCCATTTTGGTGCTACGGCGTGCTGGGTAACTTAGTGGTTTAGTGACGCAGAAGTAACGGTCAAAACTGATAATGAGCAGGTTCATGACCGAAGCATTGCTGACGACATAATCAACGGCCAACCACAGGTCACACACTACCGCTCCCAAAGGCCAGTAGCCAATCACAATGTAGACAGTGTAAAGGTTCATGGAGCAGACGCCAATAATGAGGTCTGCACAGGCCAGGCTGAAGAGGAAGTAGTTGTTGACGGTCTGCAGGTTTCTGTTTACCTTTAAAGAAACAATATGGAACAAGCTGTCAGATACTAATCTTTTTTGGTAAATGTGTTTTCTCCTCTCGATTGAATTAGCCCAGGGCACAGGGTTTCACATGCAGCTTCTTATCTAAACCTGGTAGAGCTAGAAACTCAGCTCATTCGTTATAGATGATCAAAATTTAAAAAACAAACCTTAATAGAAAGCATGACCAAGACGTTTCCAATGACAGTGACCAGACTCAAGCACCCAGTCACCAGGATGATCAGCACTACTTCTACAGTTGTGTATGGGTTTCCAGAAAGTAGGCTGCTGCTGTCGGACGAGTTCAGAGTCTCCATGCTGTTTCCCTTGGTGAATGCTTCTCACGGATGATTCTGGCTTAAATCACATCTGTACAGCAAGAAGAATTATAAACACTTTCGCAGAAGATGTCACGTTTTATATTTTGTCAAGAACAGGATTAGTTAATGGACAGGAGAGTGAATAAATGCAACCTGCGTTTACTCACATTTAAAACTGTAATTCATACGATTACATTACTATATAATATGTAGTTGTACCTAGGAATCAGTGGAATTGGTGCTCAACACAGCACACTTAGTCAAGAAAGGATTTAAACGTGTGATCCTCTGATAACAAGCTGCTGTCCAAGGTCCCAGAAACCTGCCTTAAACTTCTAATCATCATTTCAAATACATAATAATACATATATTTCAAGCATTTAGATAGATTGAGCTATTGTATTTTTGCTAAGTCGCACTCTGACAGATTAGATTTCTCAGAAGCAGCTGAAGTCAATCCCAGCAGTCACTGGGCAGGACACGTGGTAAAACGTCCATCAGGGGCCACATCAATACATATAGAGTAAACAGTTCACACCGTTGTTCTGACAATACGTGCACTAACAGGGGACAAGATGCTAATTACATACAGAAAGCTCATCAGGTAGCACTGGAGATCAAACCAGGGTTATAGTGCTGGAAGGTAAATGCACTGACCATCTGCATCTGACCACATTCCTCTTCAGGTGTCACCTCAGCTCACCCTTTTCCTCAATCCCTCACTACCTCCTAATTCAGAACCATACATCATAGCAGGGCTCACAAATGTGTTACAAATCTTGGCTGGGTGACCTGCAGTATTTAAACTCATCCTCCTTTACCACCTCTACTCCTTGCATCATTAACCTTCTCATATATTTTGATTTGCATGTTCTTAATTGCTATGTCACTAACATGCCGGCAGACCATACATTTGAAAGGTTTTGTTACATCAGGAGGTCCCAGTCAGTCACAGTGCCAGCCTAAGGTAAACAATCATCTCAGCCCCTAACAGAAAATGTAAATAACATTCCAGTGGGACTGGTGTGTTCACAACACAACAAAATCAGTGTAAAGAAGCTCAGATAAGTGATGATGAATCCTCGTAAGTGACTCCATTAGACTACACGATAACATCATACAGTACCTGAGAGATGTGCACTTCCTGCTCTCACAGATACATGACTCTTCATTACTGCATCCGTAACTCTATCTCTAACTCATCAAAGACCCATTTTGTGCTGACTGTCAATAACGAGAACCTGTTGGTCATCTCCATCATTCGTGGCTAATATGATGGATTTCCACTCGAATTTGATCGCCAATAGATTGAACTGAGAAGAACAATGGGGTGATGCAGAAATTAAAAAAAAGAAATTAGAATTAAAAACAGAACATCTTTCATTTCATTTGAGCTCAATGGAAGACGTGCACGTAAGTCAGTGATGCATCTTGCTTCCAATGTGACGCCTAAACCTGTTGTAAAATTCATAACAATTTCCGACTTTCCAACTGCCGTGCTGACTCATCTTTAGGAGCAAATTACATTAAGTGACAAACATGAAGCAGTTTGTAGGTGTCAGTGTCACAGTAAGGTCTGCTGCTTTGTTCATTTCTCTGCCCCTGTTAGGACCTACCGCTCCCTCCTCATACTGGGCAGGGCAACTGGAGACAGTCACGGAGGCAAATAGTATTTCTTTGACAGGAGCAGAGGCATTGTAATTAGATCCTGGAGATGCTCCCTCCAACAGCTGTGCCGGTAATATGCAACTATGATATAGTAGTACTCATCTGGCAGGGCGTGCCATGCTTAAAAATCTGTTCTCTCTTTGATATTATGATAGAAGACTGGGCTGCAGAATCAGGAGTTAGATACGGGGTCGACAGCGGGCACAGAGGACGGTGTTTTTCGGGCGTTTCACCAAATGTTTATCGTTCTATAAATATCTAATACAGAAAAAACGTTTAGGCATTTAATGACATAAAATGTACCATCTAACAGTTCACAGGACTGATTTAACATGTGCTGGAATTTTCAAATCAAACGTCACACAGCTGCTCAATAAGCTGAACCTGAGACTTTCAAATGTCTCAGGTTCTCACACTATTTTCAAATGTGATTTACCTACGTTGAAAACATTAAATATATATTTACTCACATGAACTGAACATATATGTTGGGCTACTGGTTAAATGCATGTAGCTCTGTGGCATAGTTTAATTCAATTCTTACAGTATATGGTTACTACTACACACTACAGGATTATATTTATATTTACATTTTGAGTGTTATTTTAATTCTTCCTGATCTACCAGTAGAGCTGAGTAAATCAATAGTTAATGTTTTCAACGTAGGTAAATCACATTTGAAAATAGTGTGAGAACCTGAGACATTTGAATGATACAGAGCTGTAAGGTTGATGAGTCTTAAGTTCTCCTAGCTTCTGTGCGTTTTTTTCTTCAGCTACTCCGGCTTCCCTGCCCCAGTCCCTAAAATGATGTGAGCGTGACTAGTTTTTTTTTTTTTCTCTCCAGGAGAACTGTCCCTGGTCTGATGACTGCTGGGAACAGCGCCTGTGACCCTGAAAATAATACAGTGGTAAACGATAAATTAATTAAATCATTCACCTTTATGACCACCTGTCAGTGTTTAGATACATATTTGCCAGGGACATTGGAACAATATTTATTTATTCTCTTTGGCAAATGGTCTTTGGCTGGAAAGGATTTCTGATCCCAGAAGGCCACACACCTCTTGAAGAGGAAAGAGAAAATCAGCAGTTGTCAGAAGTTTTATCTTCACGCAAATGTCAGAAATGGCAAACATCAAATTAATACCTCACCAGTATTACGATATAACATGTATTTAAAGTTCCTGATCACGGTTCTAATCAAGGAGGACTTTTTGGGACATTTTAGATATGGTTCCTTATGGTTGTCTGTACTGTATGTATACACTGCCCTGGTTAGATAAACAGCAGCTTGTTTGCAGAGCTGAGGAGGTGAGGAGACACACTGGTGACGGCAGATACAGTGTACACAGCCTCATCAAAGGGAACTACGGTAAAACCGGCAAGATGAAAGTCACACCCTTTGAAATGTTTCTCTGTAAACAAGAAAGCATTTATTAGCTATTATTTTATTCATATGTTGAAGTATTTGACAGCATATATACAACATATGAGAAGAACTCTGGTGAAGGATGTAAACATGTCTCATACTGTGTAGTAGTAGTTTTGGTTGAGACAAATATGGGCAACGCAAACTGGCTCGACGTGAGATTGAGAATTGTTGCAGCTTTTGATATAGTTCCCGTCGTGAGTGTGAGCTTCTGTGCTGTGACTCCAGAGTCCTGTGTGAGACATTTCACATCAGCCTGAACTTCAGCCTCACACATTAGTGTAACAGAGACACGCACGAATTCACCAAACGGACAAATTGCTTGAATATAAACGCATACAAACGCGCGCACATAGGAATATGCACACGGTGGATACATAGACAGCACTCCAAAGAGCACAGTTAGTATGAACTGAGAGAAGGAGAGACAGAAAAACCAGTAATTAAAATAGGGTTTCAAGCCTGGGACATACAGAGGACGTCCATCTGGGAGGACAGGAGTGGAAGACGGAGTTAATGAGCAAATATTAACAAACCTAACTTGATTTTGTCTCGTGAGCCTACAGTTTTCAGGGCGGAGCTGCGTGTTTTAAATCTAATTTATGCCTTAAACACATACACAGTGTTACTGGGGGGAGGGGGGGGGGGATTCCAATTGAGCAGGGAGATGGGGGAATCCAGTCACGATCTGATGCTGCTAAGGCTGAAGTCTCTCAGCTCCAGACTGAAATGAAGATAAACATTCCCAGAGCAGTCTTAGGGGAACCATTCATTTCACTTCTATCTTACAATAAATAGGAATTTCCTGAGGAAGCTGGAGCGGCATGTCGGGAGCAACGTTTCAGTCAATACATTGATTTATCTGACTATGTTCCTGGAATCCTTCCTTTGCAGTGTCTGTGACTTTACACTTTTCAATATCTTTCCAGAATATTCTAAATAAGGATTATGTCCAGGACAGTAATGTTTAATGTTTTAAAAAACTCCAATCTTACTTTGACCAGAGTTTTTAACAGACAGCTTTATAGGTAAGTGAAAAAATCAATTTTCCACTTTGTCGTTGTTGGCCAAATGTTACTTTTACACCTTTTAAAAGTCACTGACCCATACTGTTTTAAATATGTTTTTAAAGTGAAGAGTCTTACCTGCAGCTTTGGGGTAGAAATCCACTGAAGCAAACTGATTTGACCTAATCTGGAGAGAAGGACACAGATGAGCCGTTTGACTTTTGTCCATGTTACTGTCACTTCTGAGGACACACTGGAGCAGAGGAGCACTACGTATCCTGATGTTGATGTTGCTCCTCCTCTGACAAGAAACAGAGTGTAATTGTGTGTCCTTGTCCATGTCCATTCCTGTGTGTGTGTGTGTGTGTGTGTGTGTATCTGCCTGTCTGTGTTTTTGCTGAACAGACCAGGGAGGAGCTGTGATGTTGAATCCCTCAGGATCTCAAAGTCTTACCATGCTTGGTGTAGTCGCGTCACAGGGTCTCGGATGTTTGAGTGGCAATGCCATGGCATAAAATGGTAAAGCGCCGTCGAAAGAAGAACATGTTGTTGTTGTTTTTTTCTTGTTGCTGTGGGACATTAACATTTAAACCTTTGCTGTGTTGACCTTTAAGCAGAACCTTTGACGTAGGCTGCCTCAGTGGTCCGATGACCTTACTTTGATGGAATTATCACAGAGAAAAATGGCCTCTGCCCACAAAATCATATTATCATAGAAGCAGTTGTACCCTGGCATACATCTGTCTGCAGCTCAGACTATGAGTGAGATTTGATACAGATCATGTCATCGCAGGTCATTTTCATTTTATTTTTCTAATGTCATTTTTTTTGTACTGTGATTGTGCGCTAAACACAAAACAATCTTATCCTGACCCATTTTTATCTAGCTAAACATATCTTTATTAGGGATGTCCGATATTAACTTTTTGCCGATATTGTCCAAACACATTTCCGATCCTGATATCAACCGATACCCATATACGCCTGGTGATATTTGTTTATCTGTAGAAACCACTGTATGAGTTGCGGACACCAGCATTCTGCCTACAATGCCCTGATAAATATAAATAAAATATATAAAAATAGATTAATAAATTGAGCTGCAATACTGCCATCTAGTGACTTTCACTTTAACATATAGCCGTTTATCCCCAAACTATTTTTAGAACACACATCATTTCCCAAAACTCAGGCATTGCGTTATCGTGTTTTCATTATCGAAGCAAAAACCAATAACGATTCTTACAGATATTACTTAATTATGCTAATATCGGACATCCCTAATCTTTAGATGTAACTTTAATCGTCAGTGACACATACATACAGTAATATGATTAATAAATGGTAAAACGGTAAAGGAAGTGCGTACATGCATTGGTCTTACCTTCAGTCAGTGCCTCAGTGTTTCAGCATCTTCCCCTCGTAATACTTTTGTGTATTCCTTGTTTTCGACCTTTTTCTGTGTGTCTGTGTTACTGACTTTGTATCTTTGTATCCTCAGACAAGTGTATTGACCCATGCTCTGTTTTCTGGACTTTGATTCTGTGTATTACTTCCTGTATCATTCGGCTTATCAGGTAAGCTGTCATCTGAGTTTGATTTACTGCACTACCACCATGCTAAATTAGGAGACCAGTATGTATTAGTTTAAAAAATGCATGAGCAATGAAATGTGGCTGGTTTATCTTATTGTAATAAGACAAGAAAATTATTACAAAAATATTTTTAGAATTTTATAGTCATTGGTTATTTAACAGAACTGAACTATCGAGCAGGTTTCTTAAATTATATCAAACTGCACTAAAAGGTTCACACTGCAACACACTTGGCAGAGTCAAATTAAAATGAAAATGCTCCAGATTTAGAACAAACAGGAACTTCCCATCCCTGTTCCATCACAAACAAGAAAATACTGGTTCTTTATTAGTTTTGCATAAAAAGAAAACTCATGTCATACCTTTCATGCCACAACACGGAATGTATTATTGAAATATACAAGTGGCAACTGGGATTTGCTTTACATGGTACAGGAAGGCAACAGATAAGAAGAACATGTGGGATTACGCTGGAGGAAAGTCTACGAACTGGCAACAAAAGGGGTGGAGTAACAAGACAGGTCGGGATGGTCAGATGATCACAGTAGACGGACAGACAAGGGGAGGCGTGGACACAAAAGCTAGGGCAGGGCTGTCAAAGTAACTTTGATTCAGGGGCCATATACAGCATAATTAGATGTCTAGTGGGTCACACCAGTTCAACTGTAACATAATTATGAATCAAGTGGGCCAATTTTGGCCTGCGACCCGTATATTTGACACTCCTGAGCTAGGGAGAGCACCTGGAAGAGAAACACAGGGTGAGACACAAGAAAACTAAACAGGAAAAAAAACTGAAACTGGGGAAAATCTAAAGTTATAACTGAACCAGGAGAGCTGGAAGCCGCACTTAGAACGTTCCATGCTTGACTTTAAAGTATGGGCTTGAAAATAATTTTATATTTCATTAGTAGAAGTAAGGGCTAACTGAATGCACGTGTTGTGTAAATCTTCAGTTTTCAGAGTTGATCCTTCCTTGAGGATCATGATACATCCCTCATCATGTTTTTAAATAAATTTCATATTTATTTACATTTTTACATTTATTTTGTTTTGCAAAACTCTACAAGCACAATCCGACAACAATTTCTTGCAGGGTCTTTATAATCTAAGAATCACACTCTGTGACTTCCTACAAATTTTGCTTGCATGCACGCACACGGGGAAAAAAAGAGAAGAAAACAGCAAATGTTAAAGCTCTCCCTCTTTTTACTATATGAAGAAAAGGGCTGGAGGCTGTGGGTGAAATGAGGTTGTCAGGTTCTTAATGGTCTGAATAAAAAAAACATGTACAATGCAAGCCTTTTCATTTTCTGCGGTGTACTGGTGCATTCAGTCATTGCTATCCATATCTACCTATCTAAACATGTAAGACTGCTTCAGACTGTGTGAGTGTGTTCAGTAACCCTATGGTAATCCAATAAATCACACAGTGAATCTAACTAGCTCAGCTATGAACGTAGGTTTGTATTTATCAAACCATTGTTGTGTATACACAGAATGAGCCTTTTATATGTACTTTAGCCTCTTACACTGCAGTGAGGAGCATCCTGCACCACGACATATGAATGGACAAATGCCCAGAGGTTATTTTTCCTTTTAGAGCGCAAATCCTTTATGCAACAAATAGGTCAGCGTAGTTCACTGGTGTGTTTGAAATGTAGAGGGGTGAATGGAGGCGTCTTCTATTGGCTACACAGCTTTTTCTGGAAGACGCCCCTGTTGTAGATGGGATTAGAACCAACGTTCCTCCATCAACACATTTAAGCCTTTGCTTCCGAACGCCACTCAGTTTTATTTAAAACAAAATAATCCCTAAAAAAGTGCTTTTCTCAATAAGTTAAAAAAAAGTTACAAATCACTGCAGTTTTTACTTACCCCCCACAGTATTATCTCTGGGCCCCTAAGGCTGACCAAGCCCCCATGGTCAAACATTAGATGTGTCTAATAAATCTAATGTAAGTCTTATAAGCATGACACATTAATTATTACTATTATCAATGACACCTGCAGTGACAGGTAAAAGTGGCAGCTGGAGTCATCTTAATTTTACAATACAGTCATTTTTGTGAAATTACTGTATTTTTAAAATGATGTTGCATAACCTGCTGGTTGGGTGACATAAGAAGCCTCATGACTTTGCTGCCACCTAGAGGACAAATCCAAGTCCTCGCAAACAGATTTTATTAATTAAACTGCTCAGGCTTTTTACTGCAGTTTATGCAATTGCAGAGGCAGTTGATGACACACACAACACTACTCCCAAACCCAGAACTGACTAATGAGATAATAAATAATAAACAAGTGTGAACTTAATGTCTTGTTGTAGATAGAGATTCATTTGAAGGCATATCTTTGAATTTCACCAGTCCATCTATGGTCCTTCCCTATGGTCATGGCCATAAGAACAGGAGCCACTCAAGGCAGACCTTTGCTATTTTATGTTGAAAGGAGTCAACTGAGGTAGAATTGGTATAATAATAATAATAATAATTAATAATGCCCATTTCTGACGAGGAGAGAGGAGGCTAAGGATTAGAACTTGTGTTCTAAACAAAATAAACTTTGGCATAAACATCAAAAACCATGAATACAATAACCTTGACCTTTGCAGGGAGATAATAATTGCAGCAGCCTTACCTCATTTTCTCTTCAGTCCAGTGACATCTCAGAGCAAGTCTTGTAGTAAGAGGTGTTGTTACATGTACTGTTATGAAAACATCAAGTCTCTACAAACACAACTACTAAAGCACTGGAATCGCTCAGACCGAGGTTACTCTGTTTCCAGTGAAATGGATGTCAAGTGTATTTCCATAATCAGCGGTTCTGTGTTGTGCAATATTACTGTTTATCATTACTGACTTCAGGCTGCGGGGACTTTATCACTCTCTCAACTCTGCAGTAATTGTTCTCCGGCTCTAGCACTTGTTTCTCTCATTGCAGATTTTTAATGGCACACTGATGGATGTATGGATTTTGATCACCGCAGTGAACTCGATGGTTAAAAGAACAACTGAAGATCACTGTTTTATATCAATGCAAACCCCCGGGGACGGCATCTAAAGAACAGTGAGTGCTCACATAGCTGATTGCTTCCTTTTTTATTGTTTACCTGATACTCATGAGGACTTCACTGTCACCTGACATAGTTGCTCAGGGTGCAGTGGCATGGCAACAAGTTTACACATCCTTCTGCAGTCACTAAACAAACACATCCTCCGCTCTGAACTCGTGTGCTTCATGGGTTCCTGGTGATGTTTCTTCTGAATACAGGAAGGCCCAGTCTTTTTCCTCCCATGCAGTCATGGACTGGAATGATAATTATATTTTAGTTTACATATTGCAGTGTGGGCATCTCCAATGAAAATGAGATGCAAAGTGAGGAGATAAATTCTGACCACAACACAACCACTACCTTTCTGTGTAATGGATAATAACACCGAGAACACGCTATTGTAGAAGAAGAAGTGCAGGTTCATCTATTTTGGAGCGTGACTTTCTTCAGCAGAGTAAAAGTTGATCTATGTGGGTTTTTCAGACAGCATATTTAGGCATATGATAAAGTCATACAGTCAATTTGTACGGTGAAATTAACCATCACATAGAAGTGTAGTTTGTGCACTTTGTAGACTGATAATGTAAAGCACTCATATCCCATTCTTAACAAATTATATTTGGTATTTACTTTTTATTTCAGTGTATTGGATTTGGCCAAGTTCTATTCACATAATCATCATCCACTGATCATTTGAATTCCTGGATGTGGTCACGGAGAGAGTTTGACCACAAGGTGCGACCTTCATTTGCAAAGCTTAGCTTAACATTCCATCACGTGACAGAGATGATGACCACTCCAGGAGTGAAATCTTTTCATTGTGTTAGTCTATCAAAGTTTGGTTTGATTTAAATGTTTATTTTGAACATTGTCTGTTTTTTACAAAACCACCTGCATTAACTGAAAATAAGAAACTTGAAGTACAATTACTTCCATTAAGACTACAAGCATCCAAAGGAATTAGACAAACAACCATTCACACATTTAATCCATTTAAAATGTACAAATAACCTTTTACCCCAATCTGGATGTTGGGCCTTGAACTAGTGTTAGAGTTTCTTTAATATTTTGTTTATAGAATTTTACACAATGTGTGTGTTTCATGAACACAATAATTTGGTAAAATATATAAATTATTTTATAGGAATTCTGTGAGTATTTAGCTGTTTGTACTCAATGCCTCCACTAATGCAAACATTTTACTGAACAAGGGCAATTTACAACATGAGCATGGAATGCAAATCATCAGTGACAGAGAAAATGAAATATGTATAAATGTCCCTCCCTCTGTCCATCAGGCCTCCTCTTGTCGTCTGGCTCATAGTTTGCATAAAGACAGAGAAAACAAACACGTAATTGCAGGTGGTTTGGCCAAACTCCCTCCTATTCTGTATATGTGACTATAGGCAGACCAGTTCTATTGTCATATCTGTTAAACGTTGTGACACAGGGCAGTTTTTTCTCTGGTTTAATTAAATGTGAATGTTAATTTCAGTATTTATAGTTTCATTTACTCATTTACAGTTCTCTTAGTGTCCAAGTCCCATGGTTGTGAATATATTTCTAAACGTTTGGCTCTAGACCGACAAGCATTTCACAAATGAACTTGTGGCTGTGTCACGCATGCGCGGTTCCTGGGTAAGTTAGGCGAATAAACGGAAGAGAAAAGTTAAGTCTGTCTCCCTCAAGCCTTACTTTACTTGCGTTTCTTAGTGACTTAGGTATCTAGACGAGACCGAAATATACATTGAATATCGTCAGTCATTACATTTTTGCGTCGTGGTGAATGTCACAACGGGAGTTGGGTCGAGAGAAAAGGGCGTGTTTGAATCTGAACTGCTGTAGGGACACAGCGCCTCCTCCCTTCTTTTCTCCTCCGCCTCATTAGATGCTAGCTTGGTAGCCCTTTTACATGTTGCTGTGCCCTTAGGTGAAGTTAAGTGATAGTTGCAGTTATTTTTTCATTTATTTCATCAACGGTCAGTGCAGAAGAAGATGGGGTGCACTCTTAGCACGGACGACAAGGCGGCACAGGAGCGGAGCAAGATGATCGACAGGAATCTGCGGGATGACGGAGAGAAGGCGGCCCGGGAGGTCAAGCTGCTTTTGCTGGGTGAGAAACACGGAGGGACCGGGGTCTAGGCTCGGTTTGCTAAAGATATGACGTTTCCCTTTGTCCC